GGAGAAATACGAAACTTTAAAGGGCCCCAGGGCCTCACTCTCTAATTATTTCCTTAAAAAGAAGGTTTCCTGCACAACTTCACGTTACGCTCTTTCCAATGACACCAAAAACATGTCAATCGGTTCAGTAGTTTCGGAGGAGTAATTGTCACAAAAATCGTGCTTGCGTATTAAATAAGTAACTAGTGGTCGTCCAGTGGTCGAAACTCGACCAAAAATATGTAATGTACTCACTTAACTATTTTCACCCCACACTGTAAATAAAACATGTGATTGGAGTTTCCTCCATTTGTTTTGATTTTCTGTTTATATTTCGTTGTTATTTCGTAACCAGCATAGCAACGCATAAGATCCATGTTATTTTTTTACAACTTTTAAACTTATTTTTTGTGCTTATCTTTGAGCCTATTTAAATTTATAAAGGGATTTTGCACACCTACAGGAAAATAGCTTTCCAACGGTATGCGTAGATTTTCCCTACGATGCACACGAGCTGAGAAAAAAGGTTTTAAAGAAACATGCTTGCCTATTAATATATAGATAGAAGATAGATGTCCTGCAGTACTTATGGGTATCGTAGCAATTTTAATACAAGTAGAACTACAAATATTGATATTGAGGGGAGGTCTAGGCCTATGTTAGCCCAAGAGGTCAATGTTAGGCTAGCCTACGGAATGCGGACAATCGGCGAGGGCCAAACAGCTGCTGAAGCCATGTGTGCAGTTATGAAATGACCGAGGTCCCCAAAAAGGTTTCAGATCCAAAACAAACCTCTGGCTCAAACCACAAAGAAAGTTGCTATAGAATCCATGCAGATTGCATCTGCTCTTGAGACCAGACGATGATGGGGATAGAAATATTACTGCGGCTTTTGATCGAAGCCGGAAATAACGCGGGCATATATTAAAAAAATGGCATTGTTTCTGTCACTAACATGGTCACTGGCAAGGTGATGGATGTGGAATACCTAAGAAAATATTGCCCTAAATGTTACTTGTGAGGGAAAAATGAACAAGTCTGCATATGAAATTATTCGGGATCAAGTAGAGGGATGGAGCTAGTTGGTGTGCATAAGATACGGAAAACGACTAACCGGTAAAAATCAGCTTACATTAAATGCAATTGATGAACTGCAAACATATGTATGGTCTAGCCATAAGGCGAAACACTGATAATATAGAAAATATGTACATATCTGTTTGGGTTACGTACTATCACAGATTATAAACTGACGAAAACCCAGAACACGGCCTTTGTCCGCCGGGGAAAGATTTTTGGTATGGTTTTCAAAGGTAGTTGATTACCAAAAGACCATACAGGCACACCAAAAGCATCCCACAAGCAGTCATGAAATGCATAAAACCTGAAAATATTGACCTTTAAAAGAACCTGCTGAGAAAATGCCTTCATGAGAAAACACAAAACCCGAATGAATCTTTCAATAATGTTGTATGGTCTCGGCTTCCAAAACAAGACTTTTGTGTGACTGGAGACTTTAAAAGCTGGAGTGTGGGATTCTGTGATAACCTACAATACAGGATACCTAGGTAGGGTGAAGGTTCTCCAAGAACTGTTCAGTGATGCTGGTGCTAACTCCGTTCTCGGTCTCAAGATACTCGACGAGGTTAGGCGCCAAAAAGCCGATAAAAGTACAGAGGAAATTGAGAAAAAAGCCAGACAAACCAAAAGAAATCTCAAAGGGAAGCTAGAAGAGGAGGAAGAAGAGAAGAAAGTATATTGTCATGTATATATGTAAATAGTGTATACGATAAAGCAAGATGAACATAGATTAAGCCTACCTATGAGGATTTGGTCTTCTCTATCCGGCAATGAAAGTGAGTAGTAGTAGTCAGGCCAGCGACTTGGCAGAAATTTGACCTTGAGATGATCTAGGTGTACTCTCAGCTGGTTTAACTACAGCTGATTAGTTGACATTAGTTGACCACGTGCAGTAGGTGTTTATATTAAATAATGGATAAAAAGTGTTGGCCTGACCGGGTTTCGAACCCTGGTCTTTTTGTTGGTAGTTGGAGTCGTTACCATATGAGCCACAACAGTAGTTATGGGTATAGTGGTAAATGACACCTTATACAGGGTACCTATACCCTTGTACCTATATACAGGGTGTGTATTGGAGATTTGATTTTAACATGGAGGTTCACGGGTTCGAATCTAACCTATGTTAGAGGTTTCGAATCTAAACTGAGGTCTATGGGTTTAATGCTAACCTATCATTGGAGGTTCACGGGTTCGAATCTAACCTATGTTAGAGGTTTCGAATCTAAACTGAGGTCTATGGGTTTAATGCTAACCTATCATTGGAGGTTCACGGGTTCGAATCTAACCTATGTTAGAGGTTCACGGGTTCAAATCTAACTAATGGTAACTGAGGTTTACTGGTTCAATCCTAACCTATGCTAGAGGTTTATGGGTTCAATCCTAACCAATCACAACTGTTTATTTCAGCTGATCACGTGATCTAGTTTAGAGGTTCACGGGTTCAATCCTATCCTAGTAGGATTTGTAAAAAAAACATTTTATATAGTGTATAATGCTTAAACCTTACTGTTGATCATAATTGGTAAATGTTGGAGGTTATTTTATAGTGTATAATAAATATAAATCAGCTGAAAGAGGGCTTAAGTGGAATTTTACCGTTGATCATAAAAGAATGTTAAATGTGTAGTAGTATTGGAGGTTATGTTGATATTATAATTTGTATATGTGTATCTCTGTAACCTACATATACAGGGTGTGTAAGTATTGGTTGGAGGTCTGTGGGTTCGATTCTAGCCTATACTAGAGGTTTAATGCTAACTAATATATCATTGGAGGTTATTTTATATAGTGTATAATAAATATAAAAACAGCTGAAAGAAGGCTAAACTTTACCACTGAGTATAAAAATGGTCTTTGTAAAGGCTATTAAATATCATATGTCAAACTTACATCTAATCTATGCTAAACGAGTTACTTTAGGTTGTTTTTTGTATAGTGAGAGGTTCATAGGTTTGATCCTTAGCGGATTATATGAATTTATGTATGTAACCACAAGTGAAACAGGTCTATTATACTAGAGTACTAGTGTTGATGCAGTAATAAATGTAAAAATATATAAGATTTACTATGTATTACTTGTACTATATGTACATCTTGTATAAATGTTTTAGTCTAAGTTGTCAAAGCTTTCTTTAATGTAGCAGTGATTCTTACTATCTTGGTTGATTACGTGACCTCAAACCAATGCTTTGTTAATTAGTAACAACTGATTATATGACATTGGAGCGACCTCTACAGTGTAGCTTGTTTGTGTAGTTCAACACTTGTGTAGTTCAATGTGAGATCAATGTTACAGCTTCTATTATGGGTAAGTGTTAGAAGTAACTATTTATTAAAACTATTACTATTTTGAAATTTGTATTATAATACAAATGTATTAACAATAAAGGGTTTTTGAGGTTAAATAAAAACAGTAGATTTTACTCAGAGAAATATATATTTAGCCTATCGGCTATAAATTTTCTGCAAAAGGGACATCTATATACCCTGTGCGCGCAATTAGGGCACAGGGTATGCCCACATGGTTGTAAAGCAACTGTGGGGGCATTCTCTAGGCAAATTTGACACGTTACCGAATTAATTGGGGGATTTGATGGTCGTGGAACTCGTTCTGATATCATAGTGTCTATTTGGCCGGTAGTCTGCCTCAATACACCTTCTAACGTGTTACGGAGGTCCTCCCATAGAGCTGATATAACTGCTGGCTGTAGTCCACAAGCATTTGAATAACCCTCTAATGTATTTCCGGCTAAGCTAGCTACAGCTAGGAGTTCGGTTCGTAGCGTAGCAATCCTACCAGCTGCAGCTGCAGGTAGGGTAAATTCCGGGTTATTCATAGCCTGAAAGATATTATACAAGAATTAATGTTTTTATCTATTTATATAAAATAGTATAAACCATAAATCAGCTGGTTAGTAAAATTTATTACAGTAGTATATAATAAATCTCTCAAGTTTGAGGTAAACAATAGTTAAATTTTGTGTGGAAAGTTTAGTGTAAACATATTAATTTATTTATACTTAATTTCTCTTTAAAGGATACCTACCCTTTGAAGTAACCTCCTGCGAAAGGTTTCAAGGCGAGCGCTCTGCCGGCAGCTGCGACATTCACGTGTTTCAGGTATAGTTGAAGTAGAATTCTGAAAATAGAAACATATATATTAAGCTGATTTTTATTTACTTCAATATATAGTTGATTTATCATCAAGGTAATATTATATTTGGATCACTCATTTACTAGTTAATCTGTATCATATAAAACTGGGGTAGCTTTCTCTTCTAATTTAAATTTATTGTTGAAGGAATAAAAATAACTGAATAAACCTCAGTTATAAAAACATATACTACAGATTTATATAAACATTTGTAGAATTAATAATGTAGTGTTTAACTAATATTCTTTCTATAGATTTGTATAGGTGAAATATTTGTTTAAGTACTATATCAAGTCCCAATAAGTGGAAAATAATATGGTTTTATAAACCAGGTGTAGCCCACTGTTGGAATTTAAAACTTATTAGAACTAAAAATATATGTGTTGAAGTAACTTTGTGATTAGTTAACTAATGCAACTCTATTTAAGTGTAACAGTTTATTAGATTAATAGCTATAAAGATTAATAAGTTTGATAAATGTGGTGTTTTATTTTTAAATCTTTAAAAAAGAGATAAATAATAACAGAAAAAATCTAATAGCTGTAATTGTATCTCAACACTTTTATTTGTTGTATATATAAGAAATTTATCATTAGTAACTAAAGCAAGCTTAGAAAGCTAATATGTTTAGTAGAGTTAAAACCATTGAAGTAATACTTAACTATATCAGCAAAAATAAAAAGTATGTTGAGTTGAATGATTTGATTTTGAGTTTGTTCTTACAGGCTATCAGTATTACACTTATATGTCTTGTAATGTTAAAATACTTACTACAGGTTGTACTCGTCTGGAAGGTTGGGATGGTCCAGCTAATTCATCAGCTGTTGCTGTCTGCTGTCTAGCAACACCAGCTGGGGTATTCACTGTTGAAGGTGTCTGGGATATAGCTGAAGTTGAAGGTATTGTAGGTCTAACGATATTACCTATATCGGAAGATGGCTATTGAAAACAAAATAAGTATTAGTAATAGCTTAGGTAGTAATTACTTGATTACATCAGTAAAAAAAAAAAATGTCGAGTTAATTAAATTGATTTTGTTAAAATACTATAATAATTTGTACTTGTTTCTACATGTATGTTTTATTAAACAGAACCTTACTGTTGAGCATAAAAGAATATTAAATATGTAGTAGTATTGGATGTTTATAATAAATGTGGAACAAACGATAATTTATCTATCTGATGTTAAAAACAGCTAAAAGAGGGCTTAACTTTATCATTAAAAGCTACTAAATATAGTAGGTTTGACTTGAAGGTGGTTGATAATTATCTAACTTCTTTGGTAATTATCTAACTACATCAGTAAAAATAAAAAAATGTCGAGTTAATTAAATTGATTTTGAGTTTGTTCTTACAGGCTATTAGTATTACACTTATATGTCTTGTAATGTTAAAATACTTACTACAGGTTGTACTCGTCTGGAAGGTTGGGATGGTCCAGCTAATTCAGCAGTCATTGCTCGCCGCATTGCAACATTAGCTCGTGTATTAGACGACGACCTATCTACAGATAGCCAAATTCCATCGGTTGAGGATGCCTGGGCTACAGCTGAAGTTGAAGGTATTGACTGAGGTGTAATAGGAGGTACTACTAATGAGGGTCTAACAACAGAAACTATTGTTGGTGAGAGCTGTTGAAAATAAAATTAGTATTAGTAATAGGCGGGGTGTTATTAAAATAATATTAAATTGTTTAGGTAATGCTACCTACATGTTCTGATGAAAACATTCGTAGAAAACTTGAAGGTTCCAGTATTATCATATTTGTAATTTCTTCATGTGGAAATCCAGAAATAGGGATTGAAGCTGAAGGGATGTTTGTTAGGTCCCTCTCATAAAACACACCATCTCTCTGAAACAAATAGTTTAAAATGTAAATAGGTATAAGATTCTCTTAAACTATAAAAATCTTTTTGTCTCTATATAACTCACCATAAGAATTCGTAGAACACAGGTAACATCATTAATCCTTGAAGTTATATAATAATCCTCAACTAACAGCTCCTGCAAAGCTGTTGTATAAAGCTCGCTTACACACCTCTCAGCATAATCTTGGTCTACTTGCCGGAAGTTGGTGGGTATAGCAAGTCTAGCTATAACTTCTTCCTGAAACACAATCTTAGCTAAATAATGATATACAGTATAAACATATATAATATAAATTATATTTTAATATTGTTTTAAAAATATTTAAAATGTATTTTACCGAAAAAATGTGAAGAACTATCCCTCTTGTGTGTACGAACCAAAGGCCAAAGTTATTTGATCTGTTAATCTGAAACATAAAATTGTTATAATATAATCCTGGTAAATATTTGTTGTATTGTTTTTGCTTGTATATTTTTGGACTTTTTAAATACTTCTTTTAAAATATTTCTTACTGGGTCTCCACGGGGTAAAAGCACTCGTTCTGTATTTAGCCGCCTACGTCTAGTGGGTGGTGGTGAAGAACTCTCAGATATCTGTAAAAATAAAGCTTATTAAAAATAGAATAATAATAACTAACTGTTAGTTTAACTATTATTGAAATCAACTCATCTGTTGGTTGCTAGACTTTTTTAAAATTACAACCTTAAACTAAAATTAAAGTTTTAATATTTTTTATCATAAAACTCTGTTACATACCTAGGATTATTTAATATCTAAGATATGTATTATATAAGGAAAACTATAACTTACATTATTTATAGCTCTTCTTTGTTCATTTTGTCTACTCTGTAAATAGAAGAAAATAATATTATTACCCTATTTGAACTAGTAATATTATATAACTCTAAAAGAATTTTTTGTCAAAACATTTTGTTGGTTAGGAATATCTGTGTAGTCTAAATATATACACCTGTGTGTTTAATCATGCTTAACATTATATGTTGTAGCTTTCTGAAATTATAAGGCTCTCTTATAAATAAAAATTAAATCACAAACTATGATCAAGTATATATATATATATAGTATAGTTGAGATAAATAGAACTTGTTTGAAATGTAGAACTTTGTGATTGGTTTGTAATAGAAAAAAAGCTATTAAAATAAGTAGAATTTAAAATCTTGTTTAACAAACTCTAACTAATTCTAATCTATAAATATACTTACAGCCGATCTTAGAATATCACGATCATCTTGAAAGAAGGAATCTCTTGAACTCTGACTTGGTGGAACTACAGATCCAGGGCTTGAAGGTGGTGAATCTATGATGCTTGAATTTGGGCTTGATGGTGAACTAGCTGGTGAGTTGTTTTGTATAGGAGTTACTAAATAGTTATAGATGTGATCATTTATGTGTATCCAGTTTGTATTAGCTGTAAAACGCCTTGTTGTTGTTTGCCAAGCCCAAATAGGGTTGTCTTAAAGTGTATACATTCTGATCAATTGCCAATTATATCCATCAATGTTTTCATGTATGATAACTATACAATTAGAGGGACCTGCTCCTTGTATTTGTATTTCATGTATTAGTTGTTGCGCCGTTTGCTAAAAAAACAAATAATTAAATTATATAGCTGATTAAAATATAAACAATAATCTAGAAACTTTTAAAACAGCTAGAGCAGAGCCTAAGAGTATAAGACTAGTTTGCAACATATTATTTATATAGATTATAAATATGTTTGTTGCTTAAATTATAAATACTAATAACTTTTAAAGAGTTAACTTAATCACCTCACTATAGTCATCAAAACTAAAAACAAATTCTTAAAGCTCTTGTGTAATTGATTACTGTGTAAAATCTGTCTAAATAAAAGGTTTAGTAAAATATATTTGATTTAGAGTAAAGTTTAAGATATGAGAGGTGACAAAAATACTTAATCTTGATATATTGTAAAAATCTAATTATATATATTCAAGTTATATAGCTTACCCAGGTAATTGGATAAAAGTTGCTTAATACATGTGGCGGGGAGCGAGGCGGTAAAAGCGGGTTAGCTTCTAAAATGAGAAGATGGCCAAGATCGTTTTGAAAAAAACTATCTGTCTCCATAGCAACAAATGGCTGAAAACATAAGTAGAATTAAAAACCTAATAAGTTGAATTAAACACTTAGATAAGTAGAAGTTTATCTATATAAAGCTTCTACTTACAACAAGAACAGAAGATTCAGCCTCTCTTAACATATCTCTTAAGTGTGAGTTAAGGACAATCCTTTTTGATATAGGTGCTTGCCGAACATTAGGTCTTGCAAGCAGTTGACGTTCTTCATTAAGAGTTATAGATGCACCATTTCTCTATAAAAAACATATTATGATTAATAAAAAATACTTTTTAAAAGAGACACATTATCTATATAAATAAAATTAGAGTTTTGTCTGTATATCGGATAAAATTATAAACTTTTTATCTTTTGGTTTTTTGATTTCTGATAACTAGGAAAAAGACTTTGAAATAGTGTTGTATATAGGTGGGAAATTATATTTTTAAATAAGCATTTTTAGTCAAGATTTAGTATATAATTGATAGATAAAACTGATAGTAAAAATAAAAGTAGGCCTATTATGTTTTATTTGTCACCACTGGTGGTTTAATTTTGTTAAAGTGCATCTCATGTGATAGGATATATTAGGGTTAACTAGTAGATACAGATAATTAATCCTTTTATTGATTATTATATTGGTTTAAAACAAACAACATAAATTAAGTTATATATAATAGTTAGCATATCTAAAAATACATAAACCAACTGTTTTATAAGGTTTTAACTAAATACTATAAAAGTTTTATATTACACAGCTAGTGATTATATATTTTTAAATAAAACCTACCATTAATCGAAGTAAAGTCCAGACAAGATTAGGATATTCTTGTGATGACTCTATGATATGGACTCCAGTTTGTTCGGGAGGGTTACTTATCGACCACATATCTCGAATCCTATTTTGAGCATATTCCTAAAAAACCATACATATATAGATTAAAAATAAAGAATTAGACAAACTACTTCTACTACTATTAGAGGTACTTAAACTACATAGAGACCTACATACCTCAGAAATTGTCCAGAAGCCCGTAGGTATAGGTGGTATTAGGTCTAGATTATCATAGTCTAATGTGACAAAGGAAAGGACATCCCCATGCACATTAATGAAGTAATGTTCCAAGTCAGCATTGTAGGGATATTGATCCAAAAAGGTCTCCAAACCACCACCCCACTGTAATAACAAATATATATTTATACAAAAGTTATGAATTAACTATCAAATTAAACTATAATTTAGCTCACAGCCCTAATTAACATATAGGCAAAATTTTATGAATATTTAAAGTCAGCTGTTGGTAAAAGTTGGTTCTATGATATACATTAAAATTACCAATAGGGTACAGTCTATTATATTTATAAAACAGCTTCAGCATAGACAAAAATATACAATGAGAACTAGTAAAATTGTTTACAGTTAGGTTTTTAAATTTGTGATATCTTTTTAGGTTAAATAATAAAACATTATAGTAAATGTGTATACAACAAATATAAATAAAGATGAATAATAGTTTACTTACAGTTTCCAAAATTGATCGTTCTCTTTCATCTCTTGTATCTCCTTCTATTGTTGCCCTATCCTATAAAAACATATTCATTGATAAAAAACACTAACAAAGAGCTTTTCCTAATTAAAAATAAATAATTATTTTATAATAAATATATTAAAAAACACAAAGCTACTTTTAATTATTTATCTAAAGTTGTATAATTATATAGTACTACTTACTTGACCATTTGGGGGCAGATTTTCATCAACTGCTTCAGAGCTGATTAGTAGTCTCAATACAAGTAGTATGAAGAATAATAACACCATATTAGCTATGATGAAAACTAACATAACAATAATCCATATAGCAGCTACAGCTTATATATATATGATTAGAGGGAGGGAACATCTGAGTTAACCACATTTTCCACCTCCTTCCTAAGACAGTATTATCTGTCACTATTTCCCCTCCTCTCCAAAGCAATATTATCTGTTACTATCATCATTTTCTAACAAGATGCCTAATGGTGTGTGCTGGAGCTGTCGCCGCTACGTCTTTTGTTGCTCTATTGAAGAACACTGGGGAGAATGGCTTCCCCTTTGTTGCCAGTATGTATCTTTAAACTTAGTTTTTAAAATTTATTTTTCAAGGGTTTTTAACTTTATACTGATTCTAATACTCTTTTATATGATTTATAGATGCAGCGATATGACAGCAGAGGAGATCCTAACTGTCTATTATGGACAGTATAAAGAATATGTGGCAGAATGCAGCCACGAACTGGAAGAGGAGAGAGAAGAGGAGGAAGAAGAAATAGAAGAAGATGAAGGGATCGAGGCCGATTTAGAAGAAAATTGGTAAATTTATTAAATATATTTTCACTTAGGTGACACAGGTTTAAGTTTATAGTAGGATCATTATTTTATATAACCATATAAAAACATATATAATGTCTAAAGTTTAAATATCACAAATATTTTTAGGTATCCACTTTTATTTTAGGGTCCACTAAATCCCTACACATATATTTTTACATAAAAACATACACTTAACTAATTAACCCACCCCCGACTAAGTTATTTGTCCAGTTAAAACTAAGCAAATTTTAACTTATATTTTTACTAAAAATATTTATCTCTAATTTAAATATCATTAAATTTAACAAACGCTTAGGGTTGCTACAGCAGAGAGTAGTAAAAGTATTTTTAACTTTAATTGTATAAAATGATATAAGCAAACTATAACAGTTTACAATTTTCTCCATAAAAATAACATAGAAGTAACTATTTGGCACACAATAATGTTTTAATCTACTAAATTATTTTTAGGTTAAAAACCTGTTTTACTTTATAAAACTCTTGGTTCAGCTATGTTGGTAGCCTCTAGGGTTATCAAAATAAAATTGGTTCTAGGTCTTATTATAATATATTAGCTTATTTCCTATATAGAAATTTTGCTAAAACCAAAATTTTTATACAACTTTTACTAATTTAAATGATAAAAACTTATTAACAATTAAACTAAGTATTTTAAAACACAATTGTTATACAAATTGTCAAACAGCTACAATAGTTTTAACAATATCTTTCCTTAAAGATGTTTTTTTTACATAATAATAAATATAGACTATAATAGGGATCAAGATATATATCATTTTACTTTATTTATATTGAAACTATAATTATAATATCCTACTAAAAAATCAATTTCTTATCTATATTATAAATTTAAAAGTTTGTGTGATTATATATATTACTCTTAAACAACTAAATAGATTAAGCTAAAGTTTAACACAATAATATATAGCCTCAAATATATACATATTTTATGAGTATTTAAAGTTAGCTGTTAAATCTATACATTAAAAATTATAAAATTCTCTAATAAGGTATAAGGTATTTATCTTTGTATTTATAAAAACAGCTTCAGCAAAGACAAAAATATATAATATAAACAATAAGTAGGATTGTTAACAATTAGATTTTCAAAATTGTGATATCTTTTTAGGTTAAATAGTAATATTCCAACTAAATTACAAATTAACTTTTGTCCTTCATTAATGCATAACTTGAGTATAACTGCAATACACCTTATATGCTAACCCAAAATAGGTATTTTGTTAGTAAAATAAATCACCGAGATTTGCTTATAAATATTTTATACAATAGTATTATATTTTTAATTCCCCAATAAATTCTCTATAATTTATATATCTCAAGATTTTTTTGTAAAGATTACACAAAATCATATTCGACATTGGTTTTACCACGGATAATAGACCGGATAAAACATGATAATAATTGGCCATTTTTATAATTCTTATCTGACCCTATGCCACTAAAGATATCAAAGTCCGTTACAAGAAACCATACATCCTGTTGTACTATCCTCATCGTTACTGATTGCACAGATTTAAGCGGATGTGTGTTTTTATTTAGATAACCCTTTCCGCCTGACAAATAATTTATATCTAGTATAGTTTTTCCTTATAAAAATTATATATACACATCTTTTAGCTTTATATTGGATAGGGTTTGAGACTATCCCCTCATTAAGTGAGGCCAAGTTAAACGTTATACAACCTATCCAGTTTATAATATTATATACCAGTTTATAATATTATATAATATTATATTGGTTGATGTCGTAAAACGTCCTCTCCTTTATTTATAAAGCTTTTTTTTGTCAAGTCTATAGATTTAGTTATATAACCCTACCAAAGTTAACATTCAAAGTTTGCGGGCGGTTTAGTTGGCCTCGCCAGTGACTTTCACTCATGGTTTGCGGGCGGTTTAGTTGGCCTCGCCAGTGACCAATAACATTCACACAAATACAAAGAGGGGCACAGGTTCTATCCAATCTGAACCCCTCAGTGTACACACATTCACACAAGTACAAGGCATAGCACAGGTTCTTCTAAATCTGAACTACTCAATGTACACACACTCACACCTTGGTCAGGTTACATAAGTATATATCTATAGACTTGTTTTTTTTTACTAGGAGAGCTATATACATTAATATACAGTGAAAATTACAAAATTATTTACAAAGAAGTTTACATTTACAATACACTTTATGTGGCCCTTTGAACTTTTCTTCATATTGACCTTCATACCTCCTTTTAGGACCACTTATTTTAAACACTTTGCTCTCAGCGATGGTGACGATGTCTCTGTCTCTAGTCCTTCTGATTCTACTTTCTTCAATTTCAACAGTCTGTTTTGCTTCACTCAGAACCATCTCTTTTAATTTTTCAAAATTTACAACTTTTGATGTTTTAAAGTTAAGGGTGAGGCCCTTGATTTTACATATTGGGATCAATTTTTGTTGATTGGTTGACCAGACAAGGTACGCGTAAGTTTTAGGCCCCCCAGAGACAAACTCAGTAATGTATGAGCCGGGTCCATACTCTACTAATTCGTCAGTCATTTCACCGAGGTAATCTCCTGTAGACACCCTATAAAGACCGTTTCCATATATGTAAACAGCACTGTCAGTATCATAATATAATACTTGAGCTCCTAGGGCCTCAAGGTGTTCATAGAGCTTGAGTCTTGCCTGCGAGGTAGTGTAGGCCGCAATACAAACGTTTATGTTACCAAGAGGTTCACCTACCTCTGTTAAATATTCCCATGAAACTACAACAACCTCATCATTAACAATCTGAATTCTGTTTACTTTAATTTCGGGGCTAGAGAGCATTTGAAATAATGTTTTCGAGTCTCTAACAATAGTAGCCTTAGTTTGATTTTCCCTCTGTCCAAATTTTCCCCAAAAACTGTTTAGCAATAATTTTGCCAAAGATCTCAAACCTCCATTCTTAACAATCTTTTCTTTCTCCAACTTAATTCCCTCGTGTCCCAAATACTCTGCAATATACTTATTTTTGTCCTCCTCAGTCTTACACCATTCCGGATAGCCCGAAGCTTCCTGTTTCATCTTAAGAAATTTATTGATAAAATCGGTGAACAAACCCCCATTTTCATAAGTCGCTACCTGATACTCCCACAACTCATACATATCCAATACAATATACCCTTTCTCTACTGCCTTTCTGATTTCATCCATTGTCCATGTCCCAACTAATGCCCTATTATCACTGTCATGATTACACTCTCCCTGATACATCATTTCCCCACACGTTCTACACAACACAAACATCAATTTATCATTCATTTTTGTAGGGAGTACAGGGTGGTAGAGATCACGAGGCGGCAATACTTTACATTTTAACAAACCCTCTACACCCATACCTCTTTCACGACACTCCCTGTCTCCTACATAGATGGTTGGGTGGCCTATGGGGTACTTCCCATACTTACAAACATAAGGGTATAGGGAACAAACATCAACATACTGTATAGTTTCCCCCTCAACACATTTGTGATACGATTTTGCGTTGCCCGTCCTACCTCCAAAAAAAGCCTGCCTTGGATCAAGTGGGCGATTGTTTAAGATAGGCAAACTATCCAGATGTTTAAGCTGCTGATCTTTTTTTTGTTTACGAAATTCGCATTCCCACATCTCTACTAGTGCGTGTTCTGTAAACTTTGCATTTTTAGCCTTGGTTCGCTCATAGCGAAGATGTAGGCTATCAGAAGGATCCTCTTTTAAAGGAGCGTGACGGTTGTAAGGAAAGCATTTAACACATCCGTGGAAATAACAACCATTAAATTCGTAGATGTTCCTGCCATCAAAACCATCTACTTTCATTCCATTGACTCTGACTTCTTTACCTCGACCTGCGTGGTCAATCCTAATCCCGTTGGTTTCCTCGACCCAAGAAAGCCATTGGAGCGCTATATTTGATTGATTGTCTACTAATCGATAGCCGTTCTTAGGGATAAGTCCGATAGTATTGGGTTTCAGGAAATTACGGCGGAAAGCTAGATTACAAGCACTCGCAATGGTAACAGCCTCGAGAAACGGGTCAACATTACACTCTTTTAGAAAAATTGAACGAAACTTTAGACAGGCTTGGGCTAAGATATCAACATCTGAAATACAATAGGCTAGGATCTCATTTTTAAAGTTGAACTCATAGTTACTAATGACCTGGTCGCTGTACCATTTTTCAAAGTCATTGTGGGATTTCTCAAACATAGATTCGGGACAGTAGTACTTTTTGTCCGGCATAGGGCCTACATAGTCTTGATTTGCCAGAGTATTGAACAGGTGGGGAAAGTAGCCTTTCTTTTTCTCTGGAGGTAGGTCAAAGGCTTTAGGCAGAGCAGACAGAGCCATAGGGAAGTAGCTAAGGGAGTCAACAAACCTCACATTATCAATTTCCATTAGAATGATTTTAGTTCCCCGCATTACAAGTTCCGGTGTGAATTTTGTTTCTTCCAACAAGTACTTTAACAAAAATTGAAAGTCAAACCCCTGCCCATTGTGTGCAATTACACAGATTTTTTTAAACTGTTTCCTCACTGACATGACATAGTTCATAAACTGATTGATAGGGTCAGAGTCAAACACTCGTGTACGATTTTTACATGCTATACAGAATTTCCCCTCAATACACTGATAACAAAATTGCTGGGACACACACAAGTTTACTTTATGCACTTTACTTTCAGGGTCAGAGGGCAGAGGCTCATCCTGACGGGTTTCCAAGTCAAAGAAAATAAAAGCATAATCTTTAGATTTAGGTTTACCCTCATTAGGTTTCATATAACATTTATGGTTAGGATCTTTAAATGCTCCACAAGGTTTACAAAATACTTCCCCACACTTATGTGGGGTTGATCGTCCCTTAAGCAAAACTAGTTTCCCGCAATCAAGACATTTCTTTACATGTTTACACCTATCAACCTGATGCGCAATGAAA